AGTAATGAGATCGGAACAGTCTATATATACAGAGATCTATTAATATTTTGTTTTCGTGTTCAGTAATGAGTTCGGAACAGTCTATATATACAGAGATCTATTAATATTGTGTTTGTTGTGTTCAGTAATGAGATCGGAACAGTCTATATATACAAAGTTCTATTAATATTGTGTTCAGATAATGAGATCGGAACAGTCTATATATACAGAGATCTATTACGTTTGTGTTTGTTGTGTTCAGTAATGAGATTGGAACAGTCTATATATACAGAGATCTGTTAATATTGTGTTTGTTGTATTCAGTAATGAGATCGGAACAGATCAAACCAAACCTATTTTCTTCTCACAAACATTCAACAAGATAAAACAACCCACACAACCTCGTAGAACCACACCCTCGCCACCTACAGCCACGCCCCCTTCTACTACAACCTCGACATCAAGGAGTGGTCCCTCCTCCTCCTCCTACCAGAAGAATAATGAAGGGGGTGTGTCTGGTCCTAACCCAGGTTCTGCGGGATCTCTAGGGAGTGGATCTACTAGGTACTATGAGGATACAAGGTTCTATGATGAACTACTGGCTCCCCACACATCTCAGCTCTCAGGTCTAGAAATACCATTTTCTATAAAGAGATTGTTTCTAAAATAATAGAAGAGGGTATAAGATGAATCAAATTTATTTTGATCGGTTCGTTTTTTTTTATCTTGTGTTTCTGTTAAGAAAAATTGTTCCAAACTGAGAAATCTTGCAAGGGTTCGTAACATTCAAATTAAATAAAATATGAAACAGATTATTATTCGATAGTTCTGGAAAAATATTTTTGGCAAAATATGGTTGCTTTCTTCTGGGGGTTTCTTTTTACAGAAACATTAAATAAAAATATTAATGGATACCGAATTGTATTCTGCTTCATCTTGTAACCCTCTATAATTTTCATTAGTACTCTCTGCTTAAATTTGTTTTCAAATTTTATTGAGTTGAAAAGTGTAAATGGAATTTTCTAAAATTTGAATGATATATATTTATACATAAACAATAATTATTTGATAATATTTTAGTTCCTCCGTACAATCCGTACTATTCTCCAGAAGTATTCTCCTATACTCAGGAATATTTATCAACACAATTAGCAGATTTTTCTGAATGCAACTGAACTGTACTTTCATCCTAATATTGTGCAATCTAATTTTGTTAACCATTGATATGAAATTTTCTAGTTGAAATTAGATCTCCGCGTTATCATTATATATATAAATTAGAACATCAAGGAATAACTAACTCTAACGAGGGGTATACAACGGGGGGGGGGGGGGGGCTTTTGGAGCTCAGCCTCCCCGGGATCAGTAAAATCTATAGTTTTCAAAGTGAATATATAAATAGTATTTAAAATCTTTTTTAAGCCCTCTCTACCAGAACAAATTCCTTTATACACTCCTGGTTGAATTGACAGTAAGATTGGCAATATATACAGTTAAACCCTAAATGAGCCATACAGCAAAAGAATTTATCAAATGTCGTCTTGACAATTTTTCAATGGTTTCTTATACTATATTACGTAAACTTCAGTATTTACGAAAATAAATAAATAGCTATGAATATGCGGGAACAGTTTTAAAGAGCTCCTTATATCATTTAATTAAAAACTAAATATCTGCAACATTCCATTATCAGAAATTGAAGAATACGACATTTGATGAATTCTTTCGATGTATTTAAAGGGACCGTTCACTTATTTGGGTAATTTTAGGGTAAACTAAACAGTCTATTCGCTGTTGATTGGTAATAGTCTTACTTTTCAAAGACAACTGTGGCCGGAGANTTAACCTCGTGTTTCAGAAACCCATGATTCTGCTTAGCTGTTATTTTCCCTCGTATTCCGGATTATAGTTCGTAGAAAAGTAAATTGGTTGAGATGATTAGGTATTTCTGCAGGCTCATACCACAATGCTGACGTCCAATTGTACACTTAATTGTTGAAGGGTCATAGCTTTCTTATTCGTTTTTGAGCATTCAAGACTTAAAGCCACGGGCAGCCGTGGTACATTTGAATTTCCGAGCTGGTTCAACCAGGGTCAACCTTTACGGTCCCAGTTTGTACTGTATCGGCCTGACATTGCGGAAATAAAGCAGATACTCAATAGGACTAGCCGGTGCAACAGGGTTGACGAGGTCAGACTTTAGGTTAAATTTACAATTTTAAGCTGTCGAAATATAAAGTAATTTCAACTCTAATTTTTTGTTAGTATTTCAAATTATAAAATTTTACATGATTAAATAGATTGAAATATAAAGGGGTTTCACCATCAGGTTGTAAAGTTAAATGGATAATAGAATAAAAGCTTGATGAGGGTAATTAGTTTCCTTTTTCATGATTGTTATACAAATTTTCGTAAAACCTCATTTCTCTATGAAAAACATTTTTTTGGTATGCAACAATTTTCATTGAATCCTAATAATCTAAAACCTTATCAATGAAGGTCCATGTTAAAGCTAGAGCACGTTACAAAGGAATGTCATTAATTAGAATTAATGTAAATTTAAACCTCTTGGGGGGATTTAATGATAAACATGAGGGTGTACGTATTTCGTGATTTCTTAGTTTTTCAATTCTTTTTAGTTTTGTGTCCTACATAGATAAATAAATAAACATAGATAGCTTATGTACGCAAAATCACCAAGAATTGTACAGTCCGCGAACTCATACTTCTAGGGGTCAAAGTGTACTTCAATGATAAGCGGGGTGGTTTGATGTTTTAATGGATTTCATAATAGAGTGTAAAATATCTCCGGGAATGGAACTATTTGAACAACAATATTTCACTGAGCAATACATCATATTTACGAGAACTGAAGAAGGACATGAGAAGAACTAAACTAACATAAATTTCTCTCTACAGAACTCATGTACACCACAAGTACTCATTGACATAAGAACAGCCAATGTTCACAACCGACCTAGTTAATCTATATAATAGGAATATCTTTAATACATCTCTGTACATTTATATCTATCAAGATGAAAAATGTCGTCTTATGCGCAATCTATCTTTATCTATGGTGTCCTATAGCTAAATTTCAAAAGAACAAATTCTGACGTCCAAGTGTACACTTGATTGTTGAAGCTTTTTGATTCGGTTTTGACCATAAAAGACTTTAAGCCACGGGCAGCCGTGGTACATTTGAATTTCCGAGCCGGTTCAACCAGGGTCAACCTTTACGGTCCCAGTTTGTACTGTATCGGCCTGACATTGCGTAAATAAAGCAGATACTCAATAGGACTAACCAGTGCAATAGGGTTGACGAGGTCAGACCTTAGGTTAAATTTACAATTTTAAGCTGTCGAAGTATAAAGTAATTTCAACTCTTATTTTTTGTTAGTATTTCAAATTATAAAATTTTACATGATTAAATAGATTGAAATATAAAGGGGTTTCGCCATCAGGTTGTGGGGGATTTAATGATAAACCTGAGGGTGTTTGTATTTCGTGATTTCTTAGTTTTGCAATTCCTTTTAGTTTTATGTCCTATAGCTAAATTTCAAAAGAAACTTATTATCTATTAGTTAAAAATGTAATCATAAATTGGGTATTTTCTCCCAGTTCATATTTGAGTATTGAAAATATTTGTTGGAAAAGGAGGTATCGGAGTCAGACCTAGAGGTTTCGGAGAATATTACAGAATTTGAGGAAACCATCATTTATACTTTTTATGCAATTTTTGAAACTTTGAAGTATTGGCCGTTGGGTTTACGTTATAATTTTTAGAATAGCCATATATACAACACTGTTATTTACTGCAATATTTGTTTTTGGGAATTTTAACCGTGTTAAAGTTGAATTAAAACAAAATTTTATAAATTGATATATTTTTATCCGGAAGAATTTTAATAACCTTGAAAAAGAAAAAAAACGTCCTTTTCATTGGATTAATCTCTAGCTGTTCAAACACACAAGGTTTACAACCAAAACGCATGACATTACACTCGAATATAAAAGCCATTGTTTGATACAAAAACAAGATTTTTACATTGGCGTGAAGTGCAAAATAAAATGCGTCAATTCTTCTCCCGAATTTGTTTCTTTTTAGTTTTATATTTAAACAACAAACAAAGAGATGCGATTTACATAAATCAAACCTATTCAATATTTTTTTTCAGGGATTTATTTTCAAGTAAATAATTCTTGTAATGTATATTGAAAATAGTAATTCATGAGAAATTTGCAGTTTTTATTTAGTTAATTCTCATTCTATGCATGACATTTATATTTTGAAAACTTTAATATGCATAAAATTAAATGGTTCTGGTTTAGACTGAAACGGATTTAGAAAATAATTCCAGGGATTATCCAGAGATAAACGAGGAATATTTCGAGATTGTGACGAAACCTTCGAAACCCTTTAATACGTCAGCAGGAGTGTAAAAATATTTATAGATTAATTAATAAAGCAATAAAGGAATTTATTATTCACCACAAAGTCAAATTCATTGATTCCTATATCTTTGCAACCTGAAATGGAATTTAAAGAATTTGAGCCGCGGTTTAAATCTGACAAAAACCCGGTTTAAATTAAGCGCCGGCTTAAATCTTGAAAAATTTGATACAATTTTAAGTAGAACCAACCAAATTTATTTAATTTAAACCGCCGCTCAAATTCTTTAAATTTGGCCACTGATTTCATAGAACTTTGATATTTTAAACTATTAGTTTTGTCAGATCAAATAGTTTATGTTTAAAACATATTGGGATTAGAGAATTCGACTTTGGGACGAGTAATCAGTTTATTTGAGGCGTAATCATTTTTAGATAAAGTAGAAAATTAAGTTTATATTTTTTTACACTGAAGATGTTACGTCAATAGTTCCTCGTGGTTCTACAAGGAACTTTAAGCTACATTTATTACGAAAACATTTCATATTAATATTTTGGAAAAAACAAAATTTTTAGCAATGTTTTATAATCAACAGTTTAAAGTTCACATTACAGGGAGGGTGTTCAAATCATCTTGTCAGAGATGGAAGACGACCGAGAGAAACACAAATTAGAAAAAGACGACATTATTCTAATAACTGAGCGGGGAACAGATCCGATATTCTCCGAGCTGATCGGCTCAGCAGTGTCCAGCAATAACCTCAAGAGGAATAATCAAGAATTCAAACAAAAATCAAAAGATTTTGATGAAACGTTTTGTGGAGGTAAAACTAAATCAAATTTTCAGAAACGAGGGCATATATGTAGGGGGGGGGGGGTCATGTGGCAGTGACCAAACCTATACTCCTCTAGGCACTTATGCAAAATTTTGACCTTCCCAGTAAGAATTTAATCCTGATAGTGATCAAATAACAGAGATCTTTGTTTCATGAATAGACTTTCGATTTTGCTAAAGAGAAACTTTTCCCTAAGAAAGCAAGGAAGAAAATGGTCGACGTTTGCGACACTCCTGGCAACAAAGCACAATAGTTTCTAATATAAAGGTTTAAAGGGTAACGTCGTGCATTTTTACAACAAAATTATTATAATCCTAGGTGCTAGTGACCTGGGGTTCTGTGCTTTAACCCCTAGCGAGCATATTGATGATCAACTGGAGATAGCTAACCAGATACTCGACCAGCCAGACACACAGGATTTTAACCTTGACCATCTCATGAAAAAGTGTCAGCATATTACAGGTTTTTAATTAAAAGATTTTTCTTAACCCTATTCTTGCTGTAGTTTTTTTTACATAACTCAAAAAGTATTGGTCTGAGGCTGTTGAAATTTTCTGACAGCCTATACTCCTCTAGGCACTTATGCAAAATTTTGACCTTCCCAGTAAGAATTTAATCCTGATAGTGATCAAATATCAGAGATCTTTGTTTCATGAATAGACTTTCGATTTTGCTAAAAAGAAACTTTTCCCTAAGAAAGCAAGGAAGAAAATGGTCGACGTTTGCGACACTCCTGGCAACAAAGCACAATAGTTTCTAATATAAAGGTTTTAAAGGGTAGCGTCGTGCATTTTTACAACAAAATTATTATAATCCTAGGTGCTAGTGACCTGGGGTTCTGTGCTTTGACCCCCAGCGAGCATATTGATGATCAACTGGAGATAGCTAACCAGATACTAGACCAGCCAGACACACAGGATTTTAACCTTGACCATCTCATGAAAAAGTGTCAGCATATTACAGGTTTTTAATTAAAAGATTTTTCTTAACTTTTTTATTCTAATTTATTCCTGATTTAGACATATTTGCCGGATATTTTATACCAAACTTGGAGGATTTAGGAGATACTTCAGAGTTTGTACACTCACCTGAGGTTTGTACTGACTATTATGTACAGTGTACTAGTGTCTTGAAATGTACTTCATATTGTACGGTCATTTACTGTACGTTTTCTACAATTTACTTTAATTTCTACTGTCTTATACAACGATTTACTGAAGTTTACTAAAATGTACTATATTGAACTACAAATTATTTTAATAAACTAGATTGATCTGTTAAAAACAACTATCTATATATAAATTTAGCTTGTCTGGGTGTCTGTTTGTTTGTTTGTATCCAATAAACTTCAAAACGGCTGAATCGATCGGGCCCAACTTTTTTGTGGGATCTTGCGTGACCCCAGGGAAGGTTTTATGGATAATTTTGCCTCTTAACAAAATTCGATTTTTGAAAATTTTGAAAATCCACGATATTTGTGTTTGTTTTTGTTTTTAAATTGTATACAAGGAGAAAATGTTCACAATTGAAATAGAAAAACCTAGTGAAGTATATATTTTACTAGATGTACTTCATTGAACTACAATTAGCTGTATTTTATGTGACTGAACTGTACTAACTAGATTTACTGTACTTAAATTTATTGTGCTCTATATTGAACTGCAGTTTACTGTACTTTTCCACTGTATAATGTATTGTATTGTAATGTGCTCTTATGTTTTGTATTGTGCGTACGAAACTGCATTGTAATGCACTGTATTGTACTGTAATCTTTATTGATCTATATTTTACTTCAATGTCATGTACTGTACTTTTATGTACTACATTGCACTAGTATGTATCGTACTGCACTATTATGTCAGGAAACAGGGGCCCCTTGGAGTTGGAAAAGTTATCAATACAAGAAGAAACAGATTTGTTCTTCACAGCTTAGGTAAATCATAAACGTAAATTACAAAAATTAATAATAATATTTTTTTTTTACTTATTTATTTAAATATTTTTTTTTAGTTTTATCCTTCCAGCTTATGCTAAAGAAGTTCAGGTACAAAGAAATTTTCTTAAATTATAAAAAAATTGAAATTTAGCTTTTTACTTATCTTACAGTCGAATCTAATTCATCTAGTTTTAAAGCGCCCAAAATTCATATTGCAACAAATGCTTTAATTTAACAGTACTTCCCCCTTAAGGGTACATGGTACAGAATTGTACAGACTGATGAAGTACGGCAGAAGGTTGCTCTAGATATATGTACAGACCCAGGCTTGCCATGTCCAGGTATTAAAATAAACGAACAGGCTGCTTTTACTTTATCGACTTTGACGAGTCGGAATTATTGAGCTTTTAATTTTACCTTACTAACTATACTTTTTTTGTAGCTCTGGATATATACACTTTAACACACTTATTGTTAGTTTTATTTCTAATGGAGTAATCGGCAAAGTTCTCTTAGACTTTTCCGTGAACTCTTGGATCAAGCTGTGAATAGTCATAACTTATTTTTCAGGTATTTCTGATTGTGGAAATAAGAGTGTCTGTACCCAACGGTACACTTACCAGTTCTTACTTTCAGTGCAGAACTCGCTCACAGACTGCCCAAAAATAAGGAACATTTCAAAAAACATTATCTACAATTTTAAATTCCGTAAAGTTTTTTATTAATTGTTTTTAAGGTTTTTAATGAACTGTTTAGATTTTTGAAATGTTTAGAGCTTTCAAGTTCCCAACAGGGTGTGTATGTCACATGGAGTTCTAAAGAGTGAAAAAAAATCTTATTTTATTTAGAAATTGTTATAAATTAGAACATATGCTTCTAATTTTGGAACCGACTGTTATAAATCTTTGTGGCATTGAATGTTTTTATGAGTTTTGAAAACAATAGTCTGACATGATTTAGTCAATTATTATGTTATTATAATATTTCATTCAAATTATGCTTATTTTTTTGCCTAGACCAAATAGATTCTAGTCCAATAGATGGCAACTTAGAATATATACACTCTCAGTACAGCTGTATTCTTACGTCATAAGTGTCAACTTAGTTTTTGTGTCCGACAAAATTATTATTAAGTAATAATTTTGGAATAAAGTGCTTATTTTACGGTAAAAAAGTGCAATTTTGTGTTACATTTTTTCTGTTTTTACTCTTTTTATTTAATCTTGGAAAACATATTAACTAACGTGAGAAAGTTTCTTTTTCCTTGTTATATTTGACACTTGTGACGTGTATAATATGTCCATTTCTCTGTTAACCTATTGTACTTAATAATCTATTTTGCTAGACAATCATTTTTTTGATGTTTATTTACTTATATATTTATTTATTTATCCAGAAAATTTAATAAAAGTATTAAAAGTGACTAATTCTTTTTTGGGAATTGGAAAATTAAATATCAAAATTAATACTGACAGGAAACCCAAGCATCAGGAGTATGTTTTTGCTCAGTTTGGAGATTTTTCCAACTTAGAAACAATTCAAATTCTTAATTAAATAACTTAATGAAGTAAAGAATATTAAAACAAATAAATACGGTTTCAGGTTGGATAGAGTTTTTTAACAAAAAAAAACGAATCTCGCTAAACTTTAAACGGAGGTGACAGAGCTTTAGAAAGACTCGTATATGTATGAGATGAGCGTTAATAGGACGGATTCCATGTACAGAAAACAACGATATCCTGAAAAGAAATGTGTAAACTGAGAACACAAGAGAACCAACCCAATCCAAAAATGAATTTACTAAGATATGGTTAAATTAAGATTAAACAATTAATAATACATCTAATAAATTGACCACATTCTTAATCAAAAACTTGGTCTCGAACTTGCCACATTTTTTTACCTTAACACTTTAACTGTTGAAAGTATTTTAAGCACTAACATACATCTTATCTAAACTTAATTACTTCCCATGTTTATTGAGACACCCTGCATAGTACAAAGGTACCGAGTCTTTGCCATGAAATCGTATTCATGCAAATCCCTATGTCTATGCAACCAAATGTCGAAGGCCTTAGTCATTTAAAACTAGGAGAACCTGTTAAATAATAATCTAAATTTGAAATATCAAAGGATAGCATCATCAGGTTGCAATGATATATGGGTGAGAAAATTTGAGTTTGTGACAAAGAAAAATTCCTTTCGATCCTACTAAAGAGATAAAGAGGAACTCATATAATTTGACTATTTGGAATGGATTAGAACAGAAAGAACTAGCCCAAACAGTAGGAAATTATTTTCCAGGAAAACTTCTATAAGGATGACGACTTGGGTTCCTAGCGAAAAGGATAAATTGTTTCGCGAAAATTTCGCAAAAAATATATTTTCTACAACTATGATTTTTGTGAAATATTTTTTTCGCAGAATCATCTTTCTCAAAATTTCGCAAAAACAATTTTTGCGAAAAGTATTTTCCGAAATTTTACAAAGTTTTCGCATAATGTATGTCGCTTTTTTAATTTTCGCGAAAAAATG